GTCCAGAGAAGATTCTGGGGTGTAATGAGTTCAATGTGGAACCTCTTTACTATTGTTCTCCCGATGAACCCGTAAAGAAAGCATTTTGGGGGGCTCAGCATGAGAATCCCCAGGCTTTTAAAGCAAGAGATACAGGATTGACACATTTTGGGCTCCCTTTGGCTGCTGGAGGCCATTACCTCGCAGCCGTCACTTGGGAGAAGTGTCCAGAGACCTTAGGTAAGGAAAGTCCCACTCCCCAGTTCCCATTTCATCACTTTTCCTCTTGGAGAAAAATTTCTGGATTTGAAACTTTGTGAGTGACTGTAAAGATTTTATTAAGGCCAGGAAATACTAGCAAGAAAAAATTGCGTTTTAAAAAAGATACTGCCTCATTCTGCATTTTAGGGGAAGGACAGCATTTATTTCAGAAAATTGTGGCCCGTGTCAAGGGCAGCAATTTAATGGGCTTTTTGATTTGGAAAGGTGAGGCCTGACGGGCACTGCCTAGATGGGAACTGATTGGAAAGGGGCTCAGCGGCTCTGCAGAGTAATGTGAAAGGGACGTGAGAGTGCCAGCCGCAGGGGTGTAAGCATGTGTGCTCAGAAGGCAGCGGACAGAGGAGTGCAGCAGGAGAAAGGTGCCGGTGGACAGAAGGCCGGACGGTGGGGGAAAGGTCAGAAAAGCGACAGAGCCGCCAGCCTGCCTTCTGCTGCTGGAGGGGCCAGTGACGCTCTTAACAGCACGTTGAAGTTGTTTCCTACTTTGGGGCATGCTGAACCCCTTTCTTGGGCCTCCAGACCTTCAGGAGGAATCTGTTAGGTGGACATGAGGTACCTCAGTGAGGAAAGAGGGTTGTAGCCAGTGGATGCCATGTGGAGAGAAGGCTGACAGTGCTGAGTGGGGGGCAGTGACCATCTCGACCGAGGAAGCCAGCCTGTGAGAGGCCCCAGGGGGGTCCCTGCAGTCTTTGGGAGTGTCTCACAGATTGAGAGACCGAGCAACTTAATTTGGGATTAAAGAAAAGGGTGAGAGTAGGAGGAGCTTCCAGTCACGATGGGCTGGGTAATTCCAACCATGTTTCCAACTGAAGAGCTAAAACAGCTGCATAAGATTTAAAAACAAACAAACAAAAACAGCAAACAGGCACAAAGAAGAGAACAATGTTCTTGAACGTGTTGACGCGCTAACAAGAAACCCAGGACCGCCTGGGTCTGAATCTAGAAGGCCAGGCCTGGAAGGTGAAGCCCAGCACTGAAGCCACCATTGTTCTGAGGGCATCTGCTCGTCTAGAAGAAGAAACCCGAATGGGAGCTGTGGTTTTG